ATGTCTGAAAGACCTTTGCACAACCAAAAGAAGACTTACTGCAATGAGAAGGTAAACTTAGGTGAAAATATATCATCTGTTTTTCAACGTAAGCTTCCAACTAAGCTAAAGGATCAAGGTATGTTTGTTATTCCTTCTAAAACTTTGAATTAAATGAGTTATGTGTGATTTGGATGCTTTTATAATTGTTATGTCTCTTTCTATTTACAACTCACTTTCTGCTGATCCTTTGAAGGAAACTAGAGTAATAATTAAGCTCGCTGATCAATCCGTAATTTATCCCGAATACCTCCTTGAGAACATTCTGGTTAAGTGAATTAATTTTTCCAGTGGATTTCTATGTCATCGACCTGAAAAATGAACGAACCAACACTTCATCTGAAATCCCTATTGGTCGCCCATTCCTAAGCACTGCACATACCAAAATTGATGTCAGGAGCGGAATTCTTACTATGGAATTCGATGGTAAGGTTGTTAAGTTCGATGTTTACAAGGCGATGGAATATTCAAATAATGTTGCAAGCTTTAATTTCATTGATGTTATTGAGCCTTTGGTAGATGATTTTGTTGAAACTAACTTATTTGATGATTTGTGCAGGGACTTAGAGAATTACGAATAAGAAATCAAGGAGTTATAAAATATTTTTTCCATTAATGCTGATTTGCATCTAACTCCATCTAAATCTAAAATTTTTTCTTCTATTTTACAGGTACTAAAATTAGAGATAAAACGTTGTTGAAACATTTGAAAAACATGTTTTTGGGTAAAGAATATACTACACTGATTATTATTTAGAACAAGCTTCCAAAAATGAAAAAGATTCAAAAAAAAAAAGAAAACTTATGAGAATGTCAAAATCTAAAACGATAAAATGAAAAAAATTCTATGATCATAGAATTTCTCGTAAGAAAGTTCTTAGTTGGAAAATAGCGTGTAAAAAGTATATATCGAAGAACATTTAGTCTGAACTAGGTCGAGCTAAATACATTAAAAAGCGGCTAATGTTAGGCAACCCATTTTATTTTTTTCCGTTTGTTTAGTTTATATTCATTTTCAATTTTATTTAATTTATTTATCTTAGTTTTATACTTATTCTATTTTTATTCAAATTTTCAGCATCCTAAATATTTTTCAATCGAACAAAATTAGAGCATATCCATAATTTTCAATCAAATATGAAGAAAAAATTTTCATCACCATCGCCCACTCGTCGAGGTCGTGGCTGACATAGACACGAGGAATCTCTTTATTCCTTCTCTTATACTTTAATTTTCGTATTGGGTCAATACACTTTAAGTGAGGGAGTAGAGTGAGAATTTCACATTGTTTATTCATGTTGGTTTAATGGGATATTTCGATACTTATGACTGTTGTTTGCCTTGGTTGACTTGTTAGTTTTTTATAATCCCCTGCTTAGAGTTGACCTTGTTATGAATGAATAATTGATTTGAGTCAATAACATGATTTTATGAAAGCCTTTAACCTTGTGGTATAATTGTTAGTGTTGCTTAAATATGAGCTTGTGCTTAATTCGCTAGTGATTAATGTTATCTTTAGCTGTATAACTTTGTGAGACGATTGTGAGTGGTAGATAGTTTGAATGTGACTAGATTGAAGAACTGGTGCTAGGTGCTTGGGTTGTCATCTCGTTTCCAATTTAAAGGTTTAGTGATGAGTCGAGACTACAGAGTTTTAAAAACATAGGGAGAAGCGCAGAAAAAGGTGAGGAATTTAAAAAAGAAAAAAGAGGAAATAAGCGCTTGAATACAAAAAAGCAATAATAAGATAGAGTGAGTGATACAAAAGGGGAGGCAAATAAAACTCACACTCCACCAATCGCTTCTCATAAGGAAACTAAATTTGGTTCGATTTCACCTCACAAGCAAATAACAAAAGCACTACATATCTAACCCTTATTCATTTGGTTAATTGTTTTTCATTGGATTAGATTGTCACTTTTATTTGATTATCTTGTCTAACTTTTTCAACCCATTCTTGAACTTGAGATTTGAAAAAACATTTTGAGTGAATCTTTGGTAAATGATGGAAATAGGGATTGAAGTATGCTTAAGGACAATCATTGAATAAGTGAGGGAGAATTTGATGAGTGTTTTATTTTGTTAATATTTTTTCACTAATTACTCTATGTTATCTCTTTAATACTACTAAGTTGGGTCGTTTATGTTTAATTATGTGCATGACTCTATTTTCCAGAAAATAAGATTTAAAGGGCGAGTTCTGTAATTTTTTAAATTTCTGGAATCATGGCTGGAGTCGTGGACATGACTTGGGGCATGACGATGCCGACATGGCAGAATCTATAGTCCAAAATTGAAAAGCGCTTCATACCTTTAGGTACATTTCTTAATTTTCTGGAAACTAGGATTGGCAATCGGCCTTTCCTTTAAACATCTTAACACTTTCAATTCAAAAAGTGCACGTTGACTTGAATGTTGTTTTGATTTTCCGTCAAGGAGAAGAGTTACCTTGTATCAAATTCAACTTTCTAAGAACAAACTTAGAGGAAGTCTGCTAAGGGAAATCGAGATTAGTTTCGGCTCTCATTGAGACACCATAATCTGAGCACGAGTTTTTCCAGCACTTAAAGTAGCATTGGCATTAACATCGATAGCCGTTGTTAATCCAAACAAGGATTAAATTCCAAGGATTGACTTTAGAAATTAGTTCAAAAGAGAAGAGTAAGTTACAAGGATTGAGCCTTGTAGATTGTAACTGGCAAGAACCCTAAAATAAAATTTATTTCAATGATTGAAACAAATTGAGGCAAAGTGAAACTAGAGGCTATCTCTCATCATAATTATTTTCAATCATCTATTTTTCTTACTTTTATTGCTTTTATTATTTTTATTTATTTTTATTTATTCAATTAAGTTTGGTAAAATCCCCTTTATTTTCATTTTTATAGTTTTCTTGGATCAAGATCAATTCAAACTGACATTGGAAATTTCTAAGTCCCTACGGATCGACCTTTTCTTCTCTATACTACATTCTTAGCTTATTTATTTGACAATGATGCTTGGCAAGTATTAGTATTAGAAGAACATTTTCAATATTGTTTATACAATATTGATACTTCAAGAATAGTATCGGTACTACTTACTAGTAAAGCCTTTTTGTGTTCAAATTCTCATTTTAAAGCAAAAAAAATGTTGATAAAATATTTGACAAGATTTGGCAGAATTGAAACACCTTAAAAACATATTTTTCAAGTTCATTTGGAATTTAAATTATTTTTGAAACATTTGAACACATTGAATTGAGTTCAAAAATATTTTATCTTTATTTATTATATCAAAATATAAGTTCAACAATATCCCCTTTTTGATGTAAGAAAACCTTTGAAAAATTATTTTTGACAAAAGCTCTACCTTAGTAAAATATTATTTGAAAAAGAGAATAAGTTTGCAATTAACTTAAGCTCTCCCTTTTTCTTTTAGAAATTGAATTTTTCAACCTTACTTCTCTCCCTTTTTGTTATATAAAAAATAATTCAAAAATGGAGAATATGTTAAGTAAAATGCATTTGAAAAATAAAAGCACCCCATTAAAAAGTCATTCCATGAATCTTTTATCATAATTTTTTTAACACTTAAGAAGAATATCGAATTTCAACATAGAGAAAAGAAAATAAGTTAGTAACATATGAAATTCAATGAATCCAAGACTTATATACTTTATGCTATAACAATAAATAAATATTTAATAGCACATGCATAAAGCACTAGATAATGTCACGCATTTAATATGAATACCAACCGTTAGATTGCTATCATTTGAGAGTGAGAGCATATGCATGCGCATTTTAAAAAAAATGATATCAATTGAAAAAGATTTTAAACATTACCATTCTTGGCATCATAAGTTTAATGTGATTTCAATTGTTAAAAAATATTCAATGATTTAAGGATATCATTTGTTTTAAAAAGAATGTTTTGAATAAAAGCTCGTTAAGGTCAAGATATTTTAAAGAAATCATTAACACATAAAAACTTAACTTGACCATAAACATTATGATGAACTAAGCATTTATGAAAACATTTAATTTTAAAACATGTCCATCATAACATGTTTTTTCTATGCATGAGACAACGAACAACACATAATTAATTTTTCATGCTCAACACTCATGCATTAAGACATAAAAATCATATAAGCAACCATAAAGCATAATCAAAGAGCTTTAAGTTTAGAGGTTACCAATACTTCCTTTGTGTGATTAGAGCATTCAAATTTCTTTGCATTTCTTTTCATTGCTCCAACACACATACAATAGACATTTACTTGGATTTTGGTACCCAAATTGCTTTGAGTCCTTGAGGGTTAGTTCCAATCTCTCTAGTTCCTTTAGGAACCTATCTTGTCTAATTTTATAAGATTTTCTTTTCCTAATAGAACAAGTATGTAAAGTATGACCATGATAATGATAATGTGAGCATTTTGTCATTATTAAGCTAGATGAATTATTTAAAATGATTTTAATTTCTTTTGTTTAGCATTCAAGCTTTACTTTTATATCAATATTTTTTTTTCAAATTTTTCAATTTTTCATTTTTGAAAACTCTAAATCTTTTCTCAAAATTTCATTTTGATTTTCAAAATCCAATTTTAATTTCAAAAGAAAATTGTTTTCTTTGGAGTTCATGGTCTCAAATTCCAAAAATAATTCATCATATGCATCTTGTAACACATTAAAAGAATATGAATTAAATTCATTTGAGTTAAAAGATACCTTTGAACCTTCTTGAATGGTCATAAAAAAGGTTAGCTACTTCATCATCTTTATCATTGAAGACGTCCTCACCACTCCAAGCAGCCAAAAATTTATTTTCTTGCTCGATCCTTTCTTCTTTAATAAGAGACAATCATATTTGACATGTTGAGATCTTTGGTATTGATAAAAATGGGGGGCTTCAGCGTTGACTAGTTGGCATCAACATGAGAAGGAAGTACTCGATTATCTTCATAGTGATAATAATTCTCAGATTATTGGGTTGTAACGATAATTCTCGTCAACCATTTCACCATTCTCCCACTGATCAACCCCTGGAATGATCATCCAAATCGGGAGACCGTGATCAGGAGTTAAACGTTCTTCGTTTTGCATGTAAGCCAAGATAATATCACGAGAAACATCCATTGCAAACTCCTTCGTGATACTTGTTTCGTACTTGGATCCGCCTCCACCAGGAAAATCCTCAGCCTCTTCAAAGCACACATTAAGAAGGCCATGTTTCTTGCCAAAGATTCCACTTCTTTTGAGCACGTCAAACAACGGTAAGGTCCTTAGTTGGTACCTATCGTTTGTTTCACCATGTTTTGTTCTTTACGTCTGTTATCAGCAGAAACTAAGGTAATGGGGAACTCACGGCTTTGAAATTCGTTCACGAGTTGATGCACGGTCAACTTCATCGGTCTTTTAACTAAATCGATTACTTCAAAGGTCCAGTCATCCTAGGAAGCTTTAGGAACCGGGCCATGGTTTCGAACGTAGTAGAGAGGAACATGTGTGATAAAGCCGTGGTGCATGAGACGGTTATAAGTGGGATTTAGAGAAGCTTATCTCAGAGCATATTTACCAACTATAGAAACTAGTCAGATTTGAGAGTGAAGAGATATCTTGGTATGGGGTTTTTGTAATTGGTTTACAGAAATTGAGTGTGGATTTTGAAGAAGAAGAAGACACGCAACAGGATTTTTTAAAATTTTTTAATTGCCCGTAACATGATTTTTTAAAATATTTTAGTTGTCCGTAACACTCTCATTAAAAGGTTAATAAGAATTAATGATAGAGAGACTAAAATCGAACGGATCGATAATGTAAAAAACCAAATACACTTAATTTTTGAACCAATAATTAAAATCGGTTAGATTGAAAACAAAATACGAATAGTTTACCCTAAATTTTACTATTATGTATTTGTTACAATTTTACATCTCGTTATTTTCACGGCTGCGAGTTTGAAATCAAGACATGTGCGTTAATATCTGTTACAAAATGTTTTATGTGGATTATTGAGTTTGCCAATATTATCTAACTTGGCTTGATCTTTGGAGTAAAAGTGTTTAAAAATATTCGATCCAAACTACTTAATATGTCGACCCGATTAAAATTTAATGGGCATTTATAATGAAAAAACTTGAATTTGTGGGGTAAGTGCTGAACTCGCTTTTTTTGGTCGGGCTCGATTCACAAAATTCCTCTTTAACCGGATACCCGACTATCCGGTACATGGTTTCTTATATATATATATATATATATTTATTTTTAGTTTATATTAGACTTTTTATTTATAATACTTAAATTATTTCACCATAACATTCTAAATCTTTAATTTATTAAATTATTTCACTCTTATATTTTAAATTATTTCTTAAATTATTTCTTTTAATTTAAAATATTTTAAATTTAATTGTAATTTTTTTAATTTTATTTTTAATAATTTTTATATATTGATTATGCAATTTGAATTTTTAAATTTTATGTGTTGATTATGTATTACAGACTTTTAAATATTTTCTATTTGATTTTTTTTAAAATATAATATAAAGAGAAAATAAAATACAATATGAACTAGGTATTTGTGACTCGAAAAAGTGGGTACCCAAACTTAACAGGTCAAGACACAGGTCGACATTTTAGTACCCTAAAATTTCTAGTACCCGATTTTTCTAATACTCGGAAATGTGGGTACCCAATTATGAACATTCATACCTTGTACAATACTGGAAAGTCTGTTCAGACTAACCTTAGTAAAAAAAAGGAAGTGATATATTATCAAGAAATATTCTGAAGGATTTTTTTCTAGGATGATATCTTATCTAGGGAAAGTAATATGTTAATTGATATGATTAGATAAGATTTGATATTATTTCCTTACATAGAAGATTTAGGATTATCTTAACTACTAATGTAAATCTATGAGAATTTAACTATAAATAGAGATCCTCACCTCATTTGATTCATTCAAATTTGTGAATGTAACTTAGAACATTCACTCAAAATCTCTCTTGTTTTTATGTGCATTTATGCTCCTTTGTTGTTTCCCCCAAATTGATATAAGAACTTTTTCTTGAGTTTTCAAGCAGACTTAAGTGCCAATACTGTCTAAGAAGAGTCTAAGACCACATGGACTAACTAGGGAAATTTCTAGCCCTGTGATAAGTGGTATCAAATCCGGTTTGAAAGAGAGCTCAGTAATTGAGGGAGTCGAAATCTGTGTTGTTGGGAAGAAGAAAGTTAGTTCAAGGGATGTCATCACATCCTTGGAGATAAAGGTCGTTAAGTTTGAGGAACCCTTGAAGAAATTCAAAGAGAACCAAGATGAGGTGGATTCATGCTTCGAGAAGTTGGATTCCTTAGAAAACAGAATCAAGGACGAGACAACATGACTTTCAATGAGATGCATGAGAACCTGGACCGACGAGACAATGTTATCAAAGCCAAGGTGATGGCTTTGATAAGTCGTATAATTGTATATAAATTATATTTATTCTCCTATATTTTAGTTACCTAATTTATTTCCAAGTCTATATTTTATCAAGAATTTATGCTTTGTGGCTGTTTGGATGCGTTAGATATAATCTCTACCATAAACAATAATTTTAGTAGAATTAAGACACTTGAAGAGAAAATAGACGCAAAGCAAAGACCACATGGATGATGACTCCTACTTCAATGTAAACTCTAATGCTTATTTTACAATATAATTATGATGAGACTTAAGAGAGATTTAATTTAAATATGTTTCTTCTTCCACTGGATGTGAATGGCCTCTATTATAAATAAGGTTATTAGGAAACGATAAATCATCAACTTCATATCTCATTCTCTCTTTCTTTTCTTAGATTTTCTCTTTCTTCATGAGTACCTAAACTCCTTCCTCTAATTAGGGATATTTCAAGGTTTTTAATAAAAAAGATTCGTGAGATTTTATTTATTTATTTTGATCGTATTTATTCTTTTTACGTGTTTTTATATCTTATATTTTATTTTTTAATTATTCATTTATGAATTGAATGAACTGACCATTCTACAATTTTTTAAATCTTCATATTGCTAATTGAAATCTTCTCATCCGTAATTATGGTAAGGTTTTAATATAAGTAGCAAAATAACCTGATAACAAATTATGAAGATATAAGAACTAGTTTGAATAATCTTTTAAAGTCATAAAGTTATTGAATAGATTAAATCCTACGAGCGTTTATGTGAGATTGTCTAATTAGAAAAGGAATTAATCATTCAAGTGTCTCTTTAGTTAACAATAAACTAAGATGAGATTAGGTTATTAGGGCATCTCAAGTAACCATTACCAACCTATTCAAAAAGAGTTTATAAAATCTTAAGTTAAATTTTGTGATCAGGTCATGAATTAAATTCTACGATTTACCTTGACTAGATATCCTCTCATAATTGAATTCCACTTTATTTTTAATTGTTTTCTTTGAATTAAGTCTTTTAAATTAATATACATTATACAAAATCCCACTTATTTATTTTCTTTTGTTTATTTTCATAAAATTAATCTAACATTATTATCTGCGGATTCAACCCTACTTACAACTATATTTGAAGGCTTCGATAACATGTCAAGCTGTATGATAGAAGGTCGAAGAGCTCCAGAATAATGGTTATGAAGTCATGGACACAAATATGAAGAAAGGAGCTAGAGCAAATCAAGGTCTAGCTATTCCTGTGCATGGTCACTATGAGTAGAGGCTGTTGACTAGTGTGCCTAAAGACCAAGGCAATGCCTCTAAACTGAGAGAGTTAAAGGGGACGAGGTCCACACAAGACATGGAGAATTTTATCTGGGGCATGGAATAGTAATTTTGAGCCGTGGGTATCTAGGAGGATATTGAAAAGGTAAACACTACTTACGATTATTTGATTGATGTCACTCCTTTGTGGTGGCGACATAAGTGATCTGATGGGAAGCATGTGGCATTGGCAGTGGAACATAGGATGAGTTCCAAGCCAAGTTAAAGAAAATTTTTACCCAAAGCATGCTGAAGATGAGGCACGATCGATACTAGAGTGCCTTATGCATGAGGGTAAAAAGAGTATGTTTGAGAGTTCACTGAACTTTGGAAAAGGGGAGTCTAATCCAACCAATGCCAAGTCTTTCAGGCCTTGAGGCAAGGGCAATTGTGGGGGAAACAAGGAGGTATAGTCAGGTAATAGAGAATAAGTTCTTTGAGAGACAATGAGAAGCCATCGAAGAGGAGGACCAACCAATCCTGAAAGCTATGAAAGGTTAAGGATAATGAGCCCTTTAAATGTCACTTTTGAGAGGGTCCCTACTCGCTGAGGGATTTTCCCTAGAAGTCAAAACTTATGGCCATCATTAGTGGAGAAGACGAGAAAGAAAAGGAAGTACCCACACTTGGTGCAATTACAAGAGTCAAGACCGATAAGCTAAGGGGAAAAGTGGAGCAACTAGAGTGCAACCATGGTAAGGGGCTACTCAAGTTGCAAGATTGCTTAAATCAAGTCAAGTCGTCCAATGAGGAGGATAAGCCCATGATCGATGAGGATATGAGACTTGATTTAATGATATTGGGCTCTTCTAAATGTTCATAGACATCAACATTGCGAGATAATCGAAGAGTGCTCTAGTGAACATTAGGGCAACCAATTTATTCATGTCCGAGAAGGCTGACGAAAATCTTGGTCTCAAAGTTAAGCCATCGAATGACATGATCAAGATTGCAAATTTTGAGGGAGTTCCAATAGTTAGAGTGACATGAAAGATAAAGTTATATGTTGGTGATTGGAAAGGAATGAAATACTTCAACGTAATCCATTTGAATAATTTTGATTATGTAATTGGTTTAAGTTTTCTTGATTGTATTTATGCTCTTATCATTGCTTTTGCCTATGCTATATGCATATTGGATCCAAAATGACAATGTGTCAGACCATTTTTTCGAGATAAGTGGAAGTGACCAAGACTTTGGCATCCATTTAGATTGCCTAGGATGTTTTGAGGGAGACGAACATCACTTTGGAGGCTATCATTAGACACACAATTAAGGATGGTTGAGAGAGTGTGAACCTTTGAGCGACATGAAGATCATGAATTTACCACCAATGGGAAAGGTAAGAGAGGCATCATACTTCGTAGAAGAAGGGTCAATGCAAAATAGGGCATCACACTTTGTATAGAAAGGAAGATTGATGTATTTTGATGTGAATGCAATCAAGAAGAAATCGAGAGAGGAACATATCAAACATGTTCATAGTGTTTCTCAGTCTGATTTTCTTTCTTTGATGAGTGTAGGTCAAGTTAGACATAACTACTAGTGATGAGTAAAAGGGACATGCGAGACCTTTTAAAATTCTAAGGGATAAGTCAGAAGGAAAAACAAGTGGAGACATCCAAGCCTTTACTGATGGATCGAAGGGG